GTGGCTTAGTGTGCACGGAGCCTCAGTGTTTCCTCCAGCTCTCTAATTAGCTAGTGAACAGATCGCCTTACCTCTGTCCAGCTGGGAGCGTATACATGTGTGTGTGTTTCCAGCTGTGTAGTCCCCAGTCTCTTATCAGCGTAACCACTGGCCCGTACTTAACAGCAGCCATCTGGTGCCCATACTCCGAGCTGGTTTCTGCTAGCCAACCTCTGATCTACACGTCAAAACTACCCCCACAACACTCTCTCTTTCTTCATTTTTTCTTGCTTCCCCTTCTCTATTTCCTTTCTGTTTTTATTTGAATGTACATTTTAATCTATTGTTGATCATGCTGTTGTAACGTAAGATTTTCCCTTGTTGGATCGATAAAGTGCATCTATCTATAGCGAGGCTTTAATCATTCACCTCTTCGACCATTCCCTCACTTCCTTCCTTTCTCCTCCTGCCTTAATCACTCATAAATCGCTCTTGAGATCAGCTTTCCCTCTATTTTCTAATGGCAAGCTGACAGCATGGAAAGGGTATAGAGTCCTACGAATAATGTCTTTCGATTGTTGTTACTGTACTGTTCATCTGCTCATTTACGTCACAGTAATGGTTTGCTTTCTTTAAACCAATGGTCTGGACTATGGCTTACATCTGATTTAATACTGATGACTGAATTGGTCTATATTGGAAGAGAGGATGATGGCACTGTTTTTGTCTTTTAAAAATGTCCCTCTCAGGTCTAGCTTTTGGTTATTGTTGTGCAAGGTGAGGTAAGAGACGCAGGGTTATAGCAGGCTTGTTTCCTCCTCTATTGATATTGTTGGTATTGATTGTTTCCGATTGCATCAAATTGTGTCACATTACAGCAGTAACGTGAAAGTTAATCCTGTTGTAAAAATACAGACAAAGATGGGAGCTTCCACCTTGATTTAAGTTGAGTTACACAGCTTACTGCCTTTGGGCTTGTGGGTTTATCTTGCAAGTGAGTTGATGGGGAGATGAGCCGATCAAAAATAAACAGGGATGTTTTGGTGCTATCCTATACTGTGCCTCTATGGGGGCTCCACATTTTACAGAGAGCTAATAATAAAACAATTAAACTGATGGGTGTCTTTTTACTGTACGTTTCCGATACATCTTCAGGTGAGCCTTTTAAGTCACTGGCCTTTCTTTCTAATGCGTTCTGGCAAAGTGCAAAAACACACACACTCAGACACACTCTCTGTGTCAGCACAGTGTGACATTCCAAGGAACAGACTGAAAGGGGGATGAGGACAGAGACAGACTTGGCAACTTCCACATCAAATTGCCATAGTATCTTCCACCCCTGTCATAAATGTCCCCATAGACTCTGGCTGAGACACTTGCTCACTCAGAAAGCTGAAATATCACACCAAGTGACAGAGGTTTGCTAGAAATAGTTGAAAAGTAGGTGTTTCTTGGTGCATATGACGCTTGATCAACATTGAAATAACAAAATTTAATTGCATCCATTGGCTTTAGAAGCTGACAAAATCACGCAAAAAAAGCCAAGAAGTACAGTGAAGCTCTGTGTTCCCTGCTTGTTCACTAAACAAGGTGTCAGTTCAGCATTGTTGGTACACAGCTTCACCCAAAGAATAGAGCGTATAGTTTCCCTGAAAAAAAATGTGTATGCTTGTGTTTTCAGCTGGTAAAGTTGCAGGATAATTACAAGCCACTGAAACAATCATGTTACACAGCAGCTATTTCTACTGACAGCCAGTTATGCCACTGCACACACACACAGAAGTGGTCTGGCCTGGTCATAAGGCAGTTGAGGCTTGCTTTTCTTTCCTGTGTGTGTGTGTGTGTGTCGCAGACAACTGGAGCTGCCAATGCGGCTATTTCTATCCAGGGGTCACTCAGTGCTAGACAGAGCAGACGATGTGTTGTGTGTTAGCAGCACTTCATCCTGAGAGCCACAAAACAAAGTAAACAGGGAAAGTCGACCTGATATCAACTTTTGGCCAGCATCCTTATCCTTAGCGCTTCTCCTGAGTGCATGCTATGTTAGCTCATGATGGGCAACGTGGTGGAAACGATTGTTCTAATTGATATAAATATTAGCAAAAATCCCATATAGAGTAATCACAAAACAAGGGTCCTAACCCAGTAAAACTACAAGCAGGCACAGACAGTACACATACATCTATTGTATACAGTTTCCATAGCAACCAACAGACAAGGGAGAGACCACACACTGGGTATAGCAAAGTTATTTCAGTTCAATGTAATACTTTTATTATGATTGTCATATTGCAGTGGTTTAAATCGTTTTAGCTTGTAGGTCCTCGTTTTTGGGATTTCTACTGTCATTGCATGGGAGGAGCTCTTTTGCATCTGCAGTCAAATTTCTATGTTTGCTTATCTCTTGTACGTTAGAAGTAGTCTCCTTCACATACGACCTCTTAAAAGGACATTCAGTGAAACTCTTCAAATGGAGACAGAGGTATTGCCGCAATCTCAGAGGTCAAATCTGACTCGACTTGTGCAATCTTTCCGTGCAGTTGTACAAACAGCCAAGAGCAGATTTTGGTTTTCTAATGTGCCTCATATCAAATCCAAGAGCATGGGTGGGGTTGTGGCAAAGGAATAATCAGCTGAAACCAAACTCTTCCCTTGACAGCATGGGCTCAAACTCTACAGTAACTTTCTAATGAAAAACTACCTCACTTCCCCCCCTCTTTTTTTTAAAAATTTTTTTGGCTGTGTGGCCTCTCTGTGGCACTGTGACAGCTATCAGCCACACCCTCTAGACCAACAAGCAGTCACAGTAAGGGAGAGGTGAGCAGATGGATGGATGGATATAAAGACTAAACAAGTCAACGCAGGAATGAATGGGTATTGCAGTGTTGTATAACAGAAAGGTCTTTTACGGCGTGTAATAGCCACACCCTCTGCAATAACAGGCACACAGAGGAGAGGGATGGATAAATGAATGGATAAAGGGCAAAACTTGGGGTAATAATGGGCTCAATGGGACTGACAGTAAATTATACATGGTGGTTTAACACACTGCCGGCTAGTATCTCTTGTGTTACAGTTTGCCTCTGTTTTCGCCTGCGAGCAATCAGAGACACAGGCCTTTTGAGGAGAGCAGCACAGATGCAGAATTTATCGCTTTAATTCAAGGATTCACACAGTCCTAGGAGCTCCAGTAGAAAGCAACACATTACCATGGATTACTATGACCTGGATGACTGAGAATCTACCAACAAGGATTCTTCACACATTCATTTTTGAATTTAGAGATAGATCAGTGCTTGAGCAGCTATGTTCACATCCAGATCCAGCTCAGACTGAGATACATAACCTGAGCCAGAGTCTGGAAAAAAAAAACAGCTGACAAAATATTCAAATAAAATAACTGAAACTGCAGTTCTCTCTTTCTGCTTTGTGTGAGCGTGGCAGGCCAGATCAGCAGCCTCCTCCGCCTGTTTTGTTCGGCCTCTAAGAGTTGTCTGTAAATGTATATTGTGAATGTTAGTGTGAGTGAGTGACAGCTCTGTGTGTGTCTCTGCATGAAGTGAGGACTCTGCTGACAGCAGAATAGCTGGCTCAGTTGGAGGGGATTCACACTTCACATCAGATTATCACAACCAAACACACACACACAGACACACAACCATGCACACATATTCTGAGTATCTCCCTGTTTCTGACACACAGAACAGAGTGTCATAACTCTGCACAGTTTCAGTCGAGATCTCTCCACCCCCACCTCTTCTCTACCACACTAACACACACAGACGTAGACGTACACTCAGTAGTCCCACAGAGAAACCGACCAGTCATACTGAGCAGCCAGACAATAGTTCTGTCAATCAGCGTCAGGTCTCTGCCTCGCTGTCCAGCCTGAGGCCTTCTAGTGGACAGCTAGTTAGCCTGAGTTAAGGAAACTGACATGAGCTTCAGGCACGTTCATTAGGCCCCAGCCTCCCATCTCTTCCCTTCACTTGAATATATGTACATTTTGTAATTCTATGTGTCCCGCTGTTTCTGACACTTTTGCAGAGAGTTGCTTCAGTGAGTGCATTTTAATGATGTTTCTTTTAGAAAGTCCTGCAGTCTTTTGGGGTTTTTCTTGCAATGGAGAAGTCACCCTTAGTTTAGCAAGAAGTTCCATGTAAAGCAGTGAAGAATATGTTCTTTGTGTGTCCCACTACAGAAAACTGTTAGTAACCACCCAACCAAATTTGAATAGATAAAATGTTAAGTTTTAAAATCCTAAAAAAAAAAAAAAACGAATCAGCATTCTTGGCTTTGCGACGTGGGAGGTGTGTCTGCTGAAGGTGCTGACTGACAGCATTCACATCAGCTCAAGTGAACCACGCTAATGCAAACAGATCTTATTTCATTTTAACCAAACAGGTTAGATGTGTAGATACAACATATTTTCAGCATGTTGCAGCTACAGACTAAGTTTCTAACGATAATAAATTCACCAGAAAAGACGACTTATGTTCATCGGTGGGCATGGACCGCAGACGATGGCACCAAAGTTCAGAGCAATAAATGAATTGTGGTTATTAAGGTTCAGTTGCAACTTTTCACATAGTGAAATAATTAGTTAGAAGTTCAAATATGTATTTTAAAAGTACATGTCTCCATTTTAAAGGATTTACTCCACTTGAGGCTGCAGTCCTGTCGTATTATCAATCAAACTGAAGCCAACTTTTTGTTGCAATGTTTAAAACTCTTCTATTTTGAGTTTGTTTGAGAGAATTAATACCAAAAACCAACAAAAGGACAAATTAGTATATGAAAATATTGAATTCTCTGTTTTTTTCAACTTCAACAGACATCAGTGTTTCCAAGATTAGATTTTGAATGTGAAATTTGCCTTCTAGTCTTTCTCTCTGGACTTTCTTGCTTCTTGCCCATATTTTGTTGGTTGAGTGCACCCATTCCATTTATAATGTAGAATCAGTATTTTGTGTTTGCTTTTTTTTAATAGTATTTTTCTGTCTTTTTTTAATATCTTTCAGGTGGAACTAGAGACATCGGATCAGCGCTGACCCGAATGTGTATGAGACATCGCAGCATAGAGGCCAAACTCAAACACTTCTCCATGTAAGGATCATTACACATAATGTATTGCTGTGTAGTTTTTTCCCCTTCATTCTTTCATAGTGCTGTTGACATTTCCCACCCACGTTTGAACCCTGCTACTTTCCAGTTATACAGCATTTGATTATACAGTAATTTTCCAGTTCTGATAAAACTGTCAGCACTAAGGAGTTTTTTAAACTTTCAAAGGTAAACACTTTTTTTAATATTTCCTCCCTGAGTGTTTTCTATATTAGTAACTCACGGTTAATGTACTTTGACCCAAGCTGCTTCCCAGCACTGCAACTCCAATAAAATGGTCCGTGTTTGAATTGTTACCTCACCATAGCCTCCATGTTTCGACATTTGGCGTGCGTGGGTGAAAATGCTGGGACAGAGACGATTTGTCTGCCAGCCCGTGCATCTATAGTGTCTCAGTGAAGACACACACACACACACACACACATTGCTCAGACAAGGGGCTCTCTAATTTCAGCTGGCATTTCAGTAGAGATTCCTCTTGGATCTCCATAGCAGGGTCTGTGCACTGGGGGGGCTGTGATCACCAACCTCCCACTGACACTCACACTTTGTAGAAATGTCTGCAAGAGGGAGAAGTCTAATTTTAGTTTCATGCACTAAGACTGCAGCTGTCCACCTCTCACACTCAGCCTCCTAAACACACTCACAATACATCTTGGAAGACGGGCACAGTTGGGTAATGATTGACAGACATAACTGCACAGGCTCCTGACTTCCTCCTATGACGCACAGTCAGACTTTTTTCTCACAGTTGGTGTTTTTCTGCCTCCCTCTCTGCCTGTCAATGATTGACACAAGATTATGTGCCATAAAAAAGAGAAAAAGGCGAACCAGACCTAATGATTTTTAAGTCTGACAGTCTGTCTACTACTTCACTTGGATGACAGATATACTCTTGCACAGTGTGTTAAAATGTCTCCATCTCCCACACACTCCTCTGTATAACGATGTGAACCCACAGCGATTACAGCTAAAACTTGGCACTTTAATGTAGTATCCGAGAGAAGCTGAAGAACAAAAATGTGCACCTGTCTAAATACTTAATGCAAATTAGTTAATTGATCAGACTGACCCCAGATCAAAAGTGACCAAGCTGCTGTTTTCACAGGGGCTTCATGGAGGGTCTGATCAACCCTCTGCAAGAGCAGATGGAAGACTGGAAAAGAGGAGTCCATACTTTGGACAAGGACCATGCAAAAGGTGGGATAAGCAAATGTGATCACACACAAGAACTTTCAAGCAATATCTCCAATTGCATTTGATTTAACAAACTACCAAGTATCTATACAGTTAAAACAGGGTGGTATTTAGGTTGTCATAGCATTTTTATTTGTTCTTCCATCCCACAGCTTATTACTGTGTGTAATGAAAAACTGCACTTTAACACAGCTGGATGACCTTTTTACCTTGTCCATTTGAACCAGAGTATAAAAGAGCTCGGCAGGAAATTAAGAAGAAGTCTTCAGACACGCTGAAGCTCCAGAAGAAAGCCAAGAAAGGTAAAAGAAAAAACAATCATACATTTTTGTTTAAATTAACTGAAAAGAAATCTGTCAACGATGGAGACGAATATCGTACCAACAATCTTATCTTTGAACAATAATTCTATGGAAACCAGATAATCTTTACACCACGCTTTATGGAGTAACTAAATCTTTTTTCTGTACCGTGGAAAAAATTTGCTAAGTTTAGAGCTCAAACCATTGAAAACTTGGATCACCGTCTGCTAAACCAGTGATCCATGTTAAGTTTTCGTAAAAAATTTGATCAGATTAAATTCTTGGTAAACCAACAAGGAACATTTTCTTTTATTATTCTCAAACACTTGGCAACTTAATCAGCAAACATACAACTGGAATATTTTATGTGCCTCACACTAAAATATCAGCTGTAAACGTGCATCACAGCAGAGTCAGGAGAAGAGTTACTTGTTGAAATTCAGTCCGTGTTTCTGCGATAGACGCTGTGTTACTCCCATCACCAGACAGGCCTAAGACGCATGGTGTTTTCACTGACCTCTAGGCGAATCCTACAGTCGTCTGTCTTCTTGGATGCCAGCGGACTTAAATTAGATTTTTTTTTTCTCTGCTTGCTTTGTCAAATGTACATGAGGGTAGAAGGAAAAAACAACAAATCATCTACAGGTGAAATACTCTGGGTGGTTTTACATGACCATTGGAGCTGGGCTTTGGATGATTTTTAGTTTAGCCTTATTTAAGTTGTACTGAATTAAGGACGTCTATCTGTGAAACGTCAACATTCAGGACTAAAGGGAAAATCAGATTATTGAAGTCATAAAGCACATTTTAAAAAGGGTTCAGCTGAAGAAACAACCTGTAAAGAAAAATGCAGTTTTTTTTCAAATAGGAAAATGTCCAAACTGTATATGGGAGTTTTTCATCAGGCAGTAGTGATGTGTGTAGAAGATGTTTGTCCTCTCTGATTAAGTTGTGCAGATCTAGTTCGGCTAAACATTGCCTTACTTGGTGAACACTCTCTTCCCCTCTGCAGTTCTCTTGGCTCAGGTTCTACATACAAGTCCACCTACCTGGAGGGAAAAAATACTGTACACACAAGTTGAACATGTCTTCAATATGTTTGGAGACGTGACTAGTTTCAGCTTCAAACCAGTGAATGATTTACAGTCCTAAAGTTAAAAAATGTAAAAAAGAAAATTAAGAAATAAAAGGCAATGATTCTTTGTACTATGTAATAGATTTAATTTAACTGATATAAGTTATACCAACATCGTTACGTATTAACTTACAAAGCATGTTCAGCACATATAAGTTTTGTCTTGATGACTTTCAGTTCTCAGACAAATTACACAGTTCCATAATTCCACTTTTATATAATTCATAGTTTTTAGTATTGATGCATCAACACAGAGCATATTGCTAAAACCAGACGCTATCAATAGTATTTCTGTTGGACAATGTATATTGTGTCTGAATCGTCTGATTCTGGGTAGGAAACGTTTGATAATGGTAGTATTAAAAAAAACACATTAGTGCTTTGTTTTGGCTTTGCATTCCTACAATGCTTAAACAGGCATTCAGATACTGAAAGCTGCACATTGATGTGATGGATTAGTGTTTAGTGCTGGCACTCTTTCAGTTGACTTGGATCTTTTTCCTCTCCTTGTCCCCATGTGGTTCTGATACCATCCTTCACCTAATGCTGCACTGCAGCTGATAATCTAGGTAAGTCAGTTTGTGGAATAGACACACTGTCCAGACTGTTGCTTATGCTTTATTGTTTTACCAGGCTTCTTGGTTTCATTGTGAAGTCGCTACAAAAAACATGGAGTTTTGTGCAAAAGATAAATATGTGTAAATGGCACTGAATATCTGCATGCTTAATTTTCTTCCACAGATAATGGCAACAATTACTTCCAGTTTACGGTTGTGACAACATTTTGGCGCATTAAGATATACTATACAGTATAGCCTGTGAATCTGTGGACCCCAAGTTTTTACCTAAGTGTTGCAGAAACTCAGGATTCATCCTTTCTGCTGTGTCCTCCTCTATTTTGTCTCCTTTGTTGTCTCATGAACCATCTCATTTACTGTCTGTAGTTCTGGGTTAGAGGTTCCATGTTAGAAAGCACCTGAAGTAAAGAAGCAGCTCTGTGATTGGCCCTGGGCTCTGACCACTCAAGGCTTCTATTAGAAAAGAGATATTTTAAATGGTATCAGTTTTACAGTAGTAGTACTGATGTGCTTTGGTGGTGGAGATGGTGTTTACAGGAGGGAATGAGATGAAGGAGGCCTCAGTAGACGTGTGCTCACGTTGATGCTAAGAGGTCCAGCGTGTCGTGCGTCACAGGTCCAGTTCTCAAGTGTTAGATTAATTCCCACAAACTGCCTGTCTTTTTGTTTATCAGCTCTGCAGCATCCACCTTGAACGTGGTCCATACTGGCAGTTTCCTCTTCCATTGCTGTGCACATATGCACTTTGTCTCATCTTCAGCAAGCAAATTAGTGACAAAACCATAAAAGAAGTGTTGCCAGAAACACAGTTTTAGATAATAAAAAAATAAATCTTGATGCTTTATAATCCTTCAAAAAGTTTTCCTAATTTTGGCTACAGTTTGTTCATCCTGTGGAACAATAAAAGCAGATTATTCACAAACCTTAACTACACATTTAGTGAAGTTTTTAAAATTGTACGCCAGGATTTTTGCCCTAATGCGCCTACAGCAACTGGTGCAGCATCACATTGTGGAAACCTGCTAAACCTCATTCAGCTGCACGCACTTCTAGCAAGAAAAAGATCTAACTGTTGCATAAGTTACCAATTTATTGCAAGTTCTCGAACAGACGACTGTCAGTGCGAGCATTTTAGAGATTCCCCCCGTGATGTCAGTGACTGGAATTATCTCATAGCAATGCACACGAATATCTAAATCAAATTTAGACTTTACTCGATTGAGTCATACTATTAGAAAGAAGAGCACTCCATTTACACACAGAAATAACACGCCATCTGTCTGAGTCTATATCTGATGTTTGATACGTGTCTTGTGAGGGTGTTTTTTTGACCTGAGACCCCGGTGGTGCTAAGAAACAGCCTGTGACTGCAACCTAATGTAATCATTGGCCATGTGAAAGCTTGAGCAGTTAATCTCATTTGTGTGTGCACATGTAGCTCCATGTGTGGAGACTGGGGGCCCATTGCAAGCCCCTCAAAAACAACTACTCAGAACCACAAGTGTAATTCTTCCAATTTTAGGTTGTGGTTTTTTATGCCAATCTATAATAATCTATTGTACGGTATTCTGTGTACACATTATTCATTTGTCTGCCTCCTTTTCTTTTTCACACACACATCAAGGAACTTCTTGAAAGAACTTTGAAAATGGCCAACTAGTCCGATCTTCCAGTTTTTTTTGAACGTGAAAACTGTGAGACGCTAATCTACTTAACGTCAATCCAGAAAATCAGGCAGCAGTACGTCTCACAGCCACCAACCGTCTTTAATCGAACACTGAAAATGGAGGTTGTGTCGTGGATTTGTTCACAGGGCAGCCAGTGACCACACATCTCCAATGAACCTCAGTGTTTGTCTGAGGTTGAAGGAAGAGAAAAAGCAGCAATCAGGACTTTGTCATTCACAGATGCGCAGCTTATAGCGCAGAGCCTGGGAATGTGGACAAACCAAGAAAACCCAAAGCAGAGACGAAGTTGTAACATAACAGAAGCTTAAGTTTGGCACTAACAACCCCTTTGTGCACCACAAGTTGAAATTTAATGCCAGGATGTGCCTGCATTGTCTAAGCATATTCTCCATCCCTGCAATTACATATTTTACATCAACTTTAATGACTGTCTCAAGCTTATTAAGTCATGAATTTCCCTTTTATGGTTAGTTTCCACATGAGCGCTGGTGACTATCCGGATGTTTGCTGTTGAGGACCTCATGATTCATTTTGAAGGGGTTAAACTCTGTAATAAAATCAGTTTTCTTTTGTTTGTGAAAAAGATCAAAGCTCGTTTTGTGTAATTTAATAAGAGAAGGGATCCTCTTAATAGGTCAACCTTTAGAAGAGTTAGAAGCACTGGAGGCACTGCTCGAGTTAGAAACAACAAAGAAAATATTTGGCTTTCCATCTGCCTCAGACAAAGTACCTCAACTTACAGTAGTGTCTTTCCAAAACCACTTTGGTTATGTTGAGAAAACAGTCTGCCAGTAGTTGAACTGGTGGGAGAAAACCAGAGCTCAGTATGCGTCTTCATTTTACTGCATGCCAAGGAGACACCACAGCATCCTCGGCTTTTGGGCTCGAAATCTGCTTTTCTTTTGTTGATGCAAACTGAGACCTAAAGTTTAAAACTCATTTAGTCTCAAAACAGAGTTAAAGACAACTTGACTGTAACGTGATAAGAGCACTTCTCAATGTTGTGTGACGCACAGCATACGACCAAAGCCCACATTCACTCACAGTCTAGTTGTTTTCATGGCATGTAAAGAGCATTTTGCCAATAAACAACCGTGGAGTTTGCAGTTTGACTTTATAGATGCACGTGACGCATTTTTCTAGCATTGCCCTTCAATAATGATTGACCAGCTGTTTGTAAGCAGTGATTAAGACATTATTCGAAATGTCAACCTGACACACAAAATAATTTCTGTGGCAACAAGATGGAAAAAGACTTTGCCTGCAGGGACATGAATAATAATGAGTTTGGTCCTGCAGTGGAAACCAGACAAATGAGTGAGGCCAGCCTGAGCCCTTTCAGGTTCGCTCATACATGCAGTTCTCCACAGACCCTTATACAGTATAATTGTAGAGTAGCCTTCTACAACAGTGGCCTTTGGATCTATATGAGCCTGAAAATATATATACCTGCAATTTGGCCTCTTCAGTCGATTTACTCCATCATGGTCTCTCTAATGTAATATAGTAGGAGCTGCCATAAACACACACACATAACTCACATTCCACTGAGTCCAGCGCTGAACTCACCCTACCAGACTTGGTAAATGGACTCCCTACATATGGCCATTCAGTTTAACAACCAGGGTTAAAGAACTGTCTACACGGGACTTAAATTCCCCCATTATGGTTTATTTAGTAGTGTCAGTTAGTGTTTAATGTTAGTATTTGTTTGTATTGCAAGCCTTTGGTTCTTGTCATTGTAATTGTGCTGTAGCAGGCTGATAGAGGGGTAAAGGAGTAGCTTCTTAATGCTTCCAAGAGGAAGCGGTTGATGGTGTGTCCTCAAGATAAAACGCGCATCCTTCTGTTTTACATTTGAGGTGAGGGTCATTTCCCTATGTAACTCTATCTGTGTTTCTTTACTAGTGATTTGCATGATGCAGGCCCTTAAATGTCCACAAAAGACGCCAGTTTGTTATCTTTGCCCCGACACAAGAGCAGACGCAGAGACCACAAAGTTGTGCGCTGTGGGTTTAACCTTGATGTATCAGAGTTAAACTGCGAGTGCATGTTGTTTGTGTAGTTTGAGTGGTTGGATAAAGCCTTTGAGGCCCACTGGATGTCATCTTGGGAAGTCGCCAGCCTTCCTGCCTCCTTAGAGAACTCAAGAGGGCCTTGATTTGGCTTCAGGATATTCTCTCTTTAAAATCACACACATTTCTACACACACACAGCACAAAGATGCGCAGTGCTGAATAACAGGATAACCTTGGGGTTGTAATTGTCCTCAAACATTCCTGGATTTGCATATGCATATTAAACACACATATACACAGCACCAGATGGTCCTGTGGATAACTTGCACTCTTGTCATTATGAAAGCAGACACACACAGAGCCTCTCCTAACCCCGTCCAGAAGCTCCCAGGACTTGAAGTGTTGCGACAAAGTATAGCGGAGAAATAGTTAAAATTGTTCTCGCATTTGGCTATCTCGTCCTAGTAGATTGAGGTTTTCCGATACAAGCAGCAGATTTGCCTTTTAAGCAGATAAGCTTTTTTTGCCTCCTCTGTACAAGAGACAGGAAACACTTCAGTGACAAGAGCGTCCCTCCATGCTGAGGTGATAACCAGACAGTACTGGAGACACTCTGATGCTAGCATTTATGATTGCAGTAGCCATGTTTCAGTTATATATTTTGAAGCATTAAAAAATTCATTCGCAAAATTTTAATTTTGCAAATAAAGTTTTGCACTCACTTAATGCATATTTTTGGCTTTTATGAAACAGAGTTAATGCGCATATTGGGAAACGGAAGCATCTTTTTCAAATAAGTTCTGACATTGTTAACATTTACCTCACGTGACTAATCGACTGTCTTCTTTCATTGTCTTCCCTTTACTTCACACAACCAACACCAGCTGAGATGGAAGAATACATAACACTTTCCCAATTTACAACAATTCCTAAAGACTTCTATTTATCTCTTTTTCAGTGACTGACAAATAACTGTTTCTGTTTCCAACTTCTTCAAATTCTCTTCAGTTGCATGTGAAACAGGGCTAATGAAAAGATAACATGTAGAAAAGTAGTTCAAGCTAACATGTAAATCAAAAACAGAAATGACATCAAATTCATTCATTGCTACATGATCATGTTGTTGGTGATGATTCCTGCATGTTACAGTTTCAGAACTGTACTTTCTGATATCTGTGTTGTGACAGAAGATAAAGGTAGAATATTGTCTGTCTGCTTTAACAGCAGTCTTGAATTTCATCACCTGTAATAACATGTAATTTATCCTTTTTGTGTTTGTGTCCGTTTTTGTCTTTTTAAGGCCGCGGTGACATCCAACCCCAGCTGGACAGCGCCATGCAGGATGTCAGTGATAAATACATCCTGCTGGAGGAGACGGAGAAACAGGCCCTGAGGAAGGCTCTGATCGAGGAGAGACAGAGGTTTTGCTGTTTTGTAGCCATGCTGCGGCCTGTAGTGGTGAGTAACAAGACAAATGAGCCTTCTGAAACACCCACAGAGAAAAAGTCACTCCTCTCCACAGTGCAATTCACTTAAATCCCACTGACTGGATAGAGACTGTTTTCTAATCCATCATTAGATGCATATTTTCCCACTTCAGACAATCATAATTAAGCTTTTTTTACACTTAATTACACACATGTAAATAATGACTGTCTTCACTGTTGTGTAAACTTTTAAAATGAGATCATCCTATCACTCAAACAGTAATTATCTGCTATTGTCTGTAAATGTCTTTGTTCTCCACCTCCTTTATTCTTGCAGGATGAGGAGATTTCTATGTTGGGAGAAGTCACCCATCTCCAGGCCATCTCAGATGACCTGAAAGCCCTGACCTCTGACCCTCACAAGCTTCCTCCTGCCAGTGAACAGGTGAGAAATTGACATGTTGGTCTTACGTGTGCTATTTCTGTGTCTATTTATTGAGTTAACCTTCCTTAATTAAACATGTATGATTGATATTTTCCTTCCTCTCAGGTGATCATGGACCTGAAGGGCTCAGATTATGGTTGGTCATATCAGACGCCACCTTCATCCCCCAGCACCACCATGTCCAGGAAGTCCAGCATGTGCAGGTAGGCTCGTACAGCCGATCACAAGCCTCACTGCCTCAAATAAGTGAAGGAGAGGCTTTGTCTTTCAAGTACACATCATTCCATTGCGTCCATAAAACCTTCAGCAACTCACTTTGCTTCAAAACGATGTCAAATGGAAAATGAAATTACCTCAGTTGTAATCTAGTTTCCAAGACCTGAGGAAGGAAGAGATGAAAGTGCATACAGTGTCTGTTTAGGGATTAAAGATGATTATAATAGCATGACATGTACACATACAGGCTCTACTAAAGTGTTCAGAGATGTTATTTAAACCCAATCAATTGTTATGAAACTACTTGACATCTTACAGCAGTTTAAAGGGGCGATGAACAAGGTGTTGAAGAAAAACTTGCTCAGACTATGTCTGCCACCTAGTGGTCATTATGAGCTGGAATAGTTTGTACTTTTGATGTTTGCACGTGGATATGTTTTGAGATAAATGATTTTTAACTTTTAGATAAACTAGACTTCTTTACACACACTATTGATATTTAATAAATTTATTGATTTATATTATTATTATTGATTTAATAAAAAAACAAAACAGCCCTTTTTGGTTTCCAGCTGTTCAGACCGTGTCCTCTTCACTCTGTCCTCGCTGCTTTTTTTTGTGTCTCCCGATGATTTTTCCAGAACTGTTCTGGTTTAAAGAAGGAAAGCTAATGCTTGGGTTGTGCATTGCTTTGCAACTGTCTTGTGAAAATCTTGAAGCATCTATTTTGGGGTTGCGGGTGATGAATCAATACTCAAGATTATATGTTATGGCATGATTGCCTGCTACAGCAATGTAAGAATTTCAGTCTAAAATAAGACAATTTCTTCCTTTTTTCTCAATTCTTACATGAATGAGTTTTGAAGATGCAGCATTTTCATCTGATAGTACAAAGCTGTTTTTTTCAGTCACCAAAAAATCTGTTATGAAATCTGATGTAATTCATTGCGAAAAAGCTTTTTTTTTTTTTTTTTTTTTTTTAAGTTTTGATGCTTTGCAATTTATATTTTTTATGTATTTTATGACACATTTCATGCACACACTTCTATGTGTGTTTCAGTTTGTGCATGATAGTGTAGCACTAGTAGCTTTAACTGGCTACAGTTTGCTTTGTTCTTGTACATCTTTTATGTTTTTTTTTTTACATTACAGATTTTGAAATATCTGCTTTAGATGTTCGGTTCACACAGTAATTAGACTCTGTGATTAAGCTGTTTTTGCGTTTCATGATTGTTGTGTGAACATATTCCGACTCCAAGGCATGAAATCCTGTGATTTCCTGCCTGTAATTATTGTCATTATGATTTCATGCCTCTTGTGTTGGTTTGTTTTGTTGGTTGGTGGGTTTGGCCTCAGTCACTGCCTGCTGCATCTTGGTGTGCTGTGTTAATTGTTTCCCACCATGTCTCCTCCACATTCCCCCCAATCCTTTGCCTTCATTCCTTCTCTTATTATTCCCTTTAACTCTTCTTTACCCAATCTTCCTTCTTCAATCTATGTCTTTGGGTGCACCTAATTCTCTACCTGTCACTGCCAAACTTCTCCTTGCTCTGGTCCTCCCCTCGCCCCTCACTCCTTCCCCTTTCACAGTAGTCTGAACAGCGTTAACAGTAGTGACTCCAGGGGATCCAGTGGCTCTCACTCTCATTCTCCTTCCTCCTCTTCTTCCTCCTCTTCCTCACACCACCTCTTCCACCACCATCACCCCCGCCATCGATTCCGCAGCTCCACGTTACCCCAGCAGGCCCCAGCTCGGCTCTCCAGCATCTCCTCCCATGACTCGGGCTTCATTTCCTCATCACAAGACCAATACACGTCGTCCAAGTCGTCCTCGCCGATGGCAGCTGAGACAAAGGTAAGAAAAATAACCTCTGATGCCCAAACTTAGCCATAACTTTGGATCCATCTCCCCCAGCCGCTATGAAAGACAGTTAGCTGGCAGCAGTGAGTCTGTGTGATCATGGTGAAGTCATTTCAATGTTATTATTATAGCATAAATGTGCAGGAAATTAGTCTGCCTCCATATTAACTCAGGGCAAAACAGGTCAGGCCCATCTTGCTATTAAAAAGTCGACCACTGTGACAGACTGTGGTTTGGCTAAACTCAGAGGCTTCGGCGTGCTTTGTGTTGTATTTTCAGTAAATAGATCACAGCGAAATGACATGCTACACTGTCAACAGTATCTTTTACAGATGCTAAGAGCATGTCTCTATCAGCAGGTCTCATTCTGTCAGTTCCATCTAACCATCTGAAACAAGCTTTGAGATAATTATCACTGAGATAGTCCAGGGGATTGTCTGTGTGGGGTTTTTGTGGTTGCAGATCAACCATGAGAGCGGCTGCGTATTTGCTCAGCACGCCAGCAACCAGACTTCCTCCGTCCAGAACACATTGGTGTAGTTAGGCTCCAAGTTTTTATGATGCACTGAAGGTGGTTTGGCAAGTCAATCCCTGACCCATTTACAGTACGGTCCTGGGAATCAGCCTCTCATTGCCTCATTCTCAGTTACAGTAGCTGCTGTTTGAAAGAGAACAGCCTCATGGTGAACGCTTATGGATCTCTTTGATTTCAGTCCATTTTTAATGTCAAGAGAACATTCTAATAGACCCCAATCTCTCATTTCTTTCTTAAGAGAACTAAGCAAGAAACACCTAAATATATTATTAATGTTGATAAAATAAGCAGGACTTTAGTTGCTAAATATGATACACAAGTGGAGTTTGTCACAATACTTTCTAAATCCCAAAGAAGAACTGTAACTGTGTCCCTTTTGCAACGCTCCAACACCTAACATAACGCTGCAATTAATGCTGGTATGACTCCCAGTGCACCTTCTTTACAGCCACTACAGTCACTTGGCTGTGCTCCTCACTAACTGCTGAGAACTGTGGAAAAGTTGCCTCTGCTGTCTAACAAACTGCTTCTCTCGGTTTACCTGCTGACATGTCTGTCTTTGCAATTCCTCCCCTCTTTGCACGTCTGTCTGTCTCACTTTCTCCCTCCTCCTCCTCCTCCTCCTCTATCTTTCTGACTCACCTCCTGCCTCCCTGCTTGCTGCTGCCCTGCTGGCCCAGCCTTGTCCCAGTTCCAGCTCCTCTGAGATGTCAGAGACTGGGCAGCTTCACAGTGACTGCAGCTCCCCCTCCTCTCTAGCTGCTGCTACTGCACCTCAGCACGCTTCTGACAAGGTGAAAAACACTCATCCACCGTATCAGCATTAGACACATCGACTTTGGCGCCATCTCACAAAGTGTTAAAGCACGCGAGGAGCTGCCAGACTCCCCCGTGTGCATCCCCAGTTTTCATTCATTTCAGTGTTTGTGACCAGTTCCTTTGTTTTGTGTTGATGTGATCAGTTTGGATTCGATATTTTTGTGTTCCTTTGTTCTGTTCCGTTTGCCACTGTTTATCATTTATCCCATTTCCTTTTTATTTCTTTATTTTTGTCTTTTTATGGTATCCCCCCTCCTCCTCCCACCGACACACAACCAGTTGTCCAATGGTTTTGACCACTACAGCCCAGCCAGTTCCCCCTACCTGCACAGCAACGGGGGCAGTTTGGGCTCAGGCTCAGGCACTGCCTTCCCCTTCTTCCCTCCTCCCTCCTCATCATCCACCTCCTCCTCCTGCCCTACTCGTTCATGGTCACGTCCTGCCTCAGCCCTGCTGCCAGACTACCCTCACTACTGCACGCTGGGCTCCCCCATGGTGCCTTCATCACGAGTCCCCACCTGGAAGGTTTGTTCATGTCCACAAACTTGATGATTGACATGTTTCCATTCTCATTGTCCACAGTTTGTTCACACATTTTTGATTCTTCAATGAAATCTTTGAACTTCAAAACTAAAATAGGGCGAAAGGCACACCACAGGAATGTGTGGTCTGAGCAAGAAACACTGACACGTCTTTCTTTACAGGACTGGGCGAAGCCGGGACCTTATGACCAACCTATGGTCAACACACTGAGGAGGAAGAAAGACAAGGAGACTCCAGTTGTGGTGGACAGTAATGGGAGTATGAACAGCGACAGCATCCCTCCATCAGTCCAGACCTCCCTGTCGACTTCAGCTCCAGCTCCAGCTGTGCTACAAACAGCAAACCAGTCGGCAACATTGGAAGAGAAGAACAGGATTGTGCCTGCGTCTCTCAAGGTCTGTTTTAGCCTCAGTCTCGTACTACGTCTGTTGTCTTCAAAGTCATTAATCAAATAATCAAAGTGTCAGTGGAGAGAGAACATTTCATTGAAAGAGGAAGACTATTCTAAAGCTTTGGAGCTGTCACCACAAAGGTATGATCTCCCTAAAGCTGGACTCACTGCAGGTGTTTTGGGATGATTTACTCCAATGTCAACAATCGCATGAAAAATCTGAACTGATATTTAGCAGAGCTTATTCGGTAATGTAGGAAGTTTACAAATCCATTCTTAAACCTCCTGGATGGCTGGCACACTTGTTTGGGCTGCCTTGACAATATGAATCATTTGATATTTATGAGGTAACACTGGGAGGATTATTACACTGTTGTTTCTAGCTTTCAAGGTTAATAGTATTTACAGATAATAAAACTGATGGTTTAAATCTCACTTCCAGTTCTCGCTGAGGAAAAGACAAACTGCATCCACAGCCATATTCTCACCCAGACTCTTTAGCCTTCTGATTTAGTTTTTTTTGTTTTTTCCTCCTCAGTGCGAAGTGTTTTTGTGTCGCAGCAAGTTTTTAAACCCCAGTCTCTCTTTTGTTTACATCTGCTTCCTCCTGAGATCAGCTGTGGTGACGCTCTGCTCCCGCTGGCACAATAACCTTCATAATATCTGCCATTATTTTCAAATCTTCTAGTGTGAGCATGTCTGAGAGTAGAGAGAGGGTTGGCTGTGACGCTTCTCCTTAAGTGTGCAATGCAAAATCTGTGAGGTTTTTAAAATCGCTGCAGTCTGAGCCTGGAATTACCCAAAAGCCTTGATAATGAAACAGTTGAAAGCTGAGGATGTAAGAGGCCTCTTGGTAGCACGAGGGCAGAGAAGTTCGAAAACATACCCAGGTTTAGTCACTCAGATACTAAATTTTGCAATTAAGAACTCATATTAAAATATCTCTGTTAACTTTATTATTTTATCCTTTCAGACTCTGAGGCCAAACAGAGATTATTACTGTTAATAAAAGCAATTTTGCTGTGAGACTAAGCACGACTACGTGATCTCCACAAACTGCTGAATCACTTGATCTCTACTTTTTCCAGCTTCAGGAGTATCGCACGTTTTCAGACGTTTTTCTCATCTTACATTTTTCTCATCTGCCAATTTATGCTTAAAAACCTGCAGTCAGTAGGTAAAGCTGTAGGCAAATTCCCACAAAGACGAATTCGCTGATTCAGTTCCAGTAATTGCTGCAGCTTATTAACGTGGGTCAGTCTACATGTAATGCCAGCTGTGCTGCTTGAGTTTCAGGCGACCTCACATTGAACTTGTAGCAGGCCGATGTTTTTGCAGTCATGGCATTTAGAAGAAATGTTCCCATTTAATGACTGTAATGGATTGTACCTAATGACTTTAATGACTTGAATGAATTGTACCTAGCTGCGTCCAGGCTGTCAGACTTCTAGACTCGGTTACTAAATCGTTCTTTCCATTGATTTAATCTGTTTTTCTCCAGGCTGGTGATATTGAGGCCCATGATGAACTGACTCTGGCCTTATCCAGAGGTCTGGAGCTGGACACCCAGAGGTCCAGCAGAGACTCCATCCAGTGCTCCAGTGGCTACAGCACTCAGACCAACACACCCTGCTGCTCTGAAGACACTATCCCATCACAAGGTAACACATACTCCAGTTTTAAAAGTCACCACGTCTTCTCTTTTGTCTCTTAGTTTGATAAATATACTATCTTACAGTGTCAGTACATTGATAACCTGTTTGTTTTTTTCTTTTACAGTATCAGATTATGACTACTTCTCAATGGCTGGAGACCAAGAGTCTGATCAGCAGCAGTCTGACTTTGACAAGTCCTCCACCATCCCCAGAAACAGCGACATCAGTCAGTCGTACAGACGCATGTTTCAGACTAAACGTCCAGCCTCCACAGCCGGCCTGCCCAGCACTCAGGCTCCGTACCCTGTACAGGGGGCCTACCATGTGGGGCCTTACCCCTCCACACCCATCCACACAGGAGGTTATCCATCTGCTCCTACTGGGCCTTATCCTCCCACCCCTACAGGTACAGAGTGTAGAGTACTGTGCAAAAATCTGAAGCCACCATTAGGTTTGTTGTTTTTCTACAGATGTAATGGTCATACGTGTTTATTTCTCAGGCTCTTAATAAGATACAACAAGAAAACACAGGAAATATATACACAGTAATAAAAATCCACACAAAATAAATCAGAACAAAATGATTTCTACAGGCTAAAGTCAGTATTTAATATGAACTCACTTTGCACATTTTAAACTCTCGTCGGTCGCGCGTCTTTGTTTTGTTCAGTTTTCTTGTGTTATATTACACAAAGCTTCCTTCAGCACTTCTTTTATGTTTTTTCTGTGCTTCTATGATATTCAGGTCTGGACTCTGTGGAGGCAGGTCAATTACTGTCAGTGTTTTATCAGCAGTTTCTCTTCTCCAAATATGATTTCACTGCATTAGCGGTGCTTGGAATCATTCTCATGCTAAATAATAAAACTGCTTATTAAAACTGGCAGCCACTTTCAGGAAGGAATGATGATGGATCAAAATGTGTCTGCATTTTAAAGCATTCGTGAAATGCAGACATGCAGCCTGAAACCAGGACAGACCCTCCTCCATGTCCCTCTGTCCAACTCTTCTTCTCACATAATGTCGCCAGTTGGATGTGAACATTTTAAACTTTAATTCATCACTCCACACTACTCTTTACCGTTAATCTTCTCTCCAATCTTGTGCACATTTCAGTCTGTTGGCCCCTTCTGAAAAAGTGATTTCTGGGCTGCTTCCCTTCCACAGAAGCCATTCCTGATCAGACTTCTCCAGACTTTAAAGGGATCAGCTTAGTATTCACATTAAACTGGACCCTAAACTAAGACCTCTAGAAGAAACTCATCCGACACCAACAGTTTTATTATTCTTCCACTCCTCCACATTCTTCACATTTCTTTAAAACAGCTTGAATACCACATCTTGAGTAAGCAGCTGCCGATTTGCCTTTGAGAATGGCCTTTCTGATGCAAAACGGTGTCCGTTTTGGTATTTTGAATGGAGATTTTATCTTATATATTAGCAAGTTTCCAATGAGTTAAATTCTTATAATATGTAGTGCTTAATGAAGGCTGCGAAACATGATGTACAATAATATAATAGAAGATTAATGCAGTAGCAGTGAAGACTTCAAGACATGTTAAGTCCAAAGGGAAGCTGCCATGAATACTTTTCGACTTTCGCCTGTAATAACTTTTCTTTCTGTAATGTTTGTATTTTTTGGTGTTCCTGCATATCCCAGTTGTATCTTGATACAGAGACTGATAAATGTTTGTTTATAGTCATTATAACCTTTGTATAATGACAAACCTAATGGTGGCTTTTTCACAGAGCCTTAAATGTTCACTTAAATCCATCTTGTCCATTTTTACCTTCTTGATACTGCATTGTCATTTGTTATCTTGGTGGTCTATGCTAACAATTCCCTTCTTTGTCTGAATGTTGTCATCATTTGCGTTCCATTGTAGCAGCCTTCTGCTGAGGTCAGAGATTTCACTCTGGATCCAGCTCCCATAATGCCTCTGTCCTCTTTCCTCTAGGTCACGGTCCAGTTATCGTCACCCCCGGGGTTGCCACGATCCGTCGCACCCCCTCCTCCAAGCCCTCCGCCCGTCGCTCAGGCTCGGTCGTGGGTACCGGCCCCATTCCCATCCGTACTCCTGTCGTGCCGGTAAAAATTCCCACGGTGCCCGACATGTCAGGAGCAGTTAACGGGAGCAGGAGCTCGGAGGAGATGGGAGGAGGGGAAAGCCCAGATTCTCCCACGTTTGCGGGAGGGGAGGATGGCGGCTCGCTGCCTGTGGTGTCCTGGAGCGGTCAGGCCACAACCAACCCTCCCACCGTGGCCAACCAGCCGCCTCAGCAGCACCTTCAGAGTGACATCGGAGAGGAGGTGGGAGAACAGGAAGAAGGAAACATGCTGGTGGCCATCCGGAAGGGCGTCAAGCTCAAGAGGACCCTCACCAACGATCGCTCTGCTCCACGTATCGCATGATGAAGCCGCGAGAACACGGTCACAAGAAGCACGTGACCTCATGTCATAGCAGCGGGGCTCCACCTCTTCATCGTATTTGTAAATTAGGTCAAAAGCTTTAGAAAAAAAATGTTGCTGGTAGACGTGCAATGTACAAAAATGAAAAGGCTTGTTATACTAAATCAGTCGTACCTACTCCACATGCAGCGTTTCTAAATTTTCACTCATGAGAATCTCTCACTACACAAGCCATTTACAAATACTCAAAAAAAAAAAAAGAAAAAGCATCTTGTAGATTATTCACCACATTTCTAATTAGGCTTGTGATGCCTCAGAAATGATGTAAAGGTTAATTAAAATGTGGGTTTATTATGGGATCACTGGCCCACTTATGGTAATCCTTGCGTAAGTTGAGAAGTTGGACAAGCCTGTACACGACCTCGTTGAGGATTTTGGCCAAAGCACCGAGATGCTTTTGGAAATCTGGGCCCACCGATGTGTAACGATGGCGATAAACATCAGGATGTGTTTTTGTTAACGAACAGCAGAGCAGCATTACGCCACAGTATGTTTATTTCTTTAAAAGGACGGTAAAGATGTGCTTCACACAAATCCCTCACCGAGCTGTACGCCTCCTCTCAGTGTAAAAAAAAAAAACAAAACTCAACACCGTGTACACATTCAGCGCATTGTGCCATCGTGGGAAGCACTCTGACTGCCTGGAGACTGAGCAGAAGGTCTGCCATAACCACTGCAGTAGAACACAGCATCGAGAGAGGAACGTTCAGGTGCTGTGGGGAGGTTCTGGCTACATTGGCAGCGTTTTGACTGCACCATTTGGCAAGTCCTGAACCTGCCTATTTGGAAACTGGCCCAGTTAGGCGATGCGTTGAAAGCTGCTGAGACTTAAATACAGCGGGGGGTCGGTCCACAGAGCAACACAGAGGGCTCCTGACTTTCCTGTGTTTGACCCGCATCTGAGTTGCAGGAGCGTGACCCGAGTGGTCGATGCCGTGACATGAAGAGACGCTACAAGTTTTTGTTTTAATATTCACACGATCTGTAAATAGTTTTGCACGTCTCTGTTGCTGAGCGGTGCGTCAGTTGTACATCCACAGCGCTCCTCCACAGTGCCAAAATCATTCAGATCTCACATAGGATATAGTGACCATCGCAGCCCATCGCCTGGAGATGTGAAGTGCTTTCCTTATTTTCCTCAGTTTTTTTTTCCCCCCGACTCATTTAATCTGAAATCTCTACATGCTGAGCTTTGTAGAACTTCTCTGTGGTTTGTCTTAACATGAGTCGTATCATTATTTAGCCACACGACAACCTGCTGCGCATTGATTGCTCATAGCATCACTAATACATGTCCCAGTACACATGTGCCATGTCAGAACACAAGTCAAATTTATATAAATATATATATATATATTACTAAACATTTTATTGACGCTAATGAAGCAAATTATTTTGATGTTTAGAAAACAATGAGTTAAAGCTATAATTTGTATTGCCACGTTGTTTCTGATGTTCCGTGCTGTTATGTTGGATTCTTTCTGTTAAACGCATGCAGCGAGTACATTCAATCGATCGGTTTGATTTTTTTTTTTAAACATCCCTCACTTCAGTTTTAATTTTTTGTAGTAGTATCCAAGGGGACAAGTCGTTCAGATTTTTACCTAAAAACTAGGAAATCACATAAAAATGCATCGTATAACTTAAGGAATATGTTGTTAAAGGTACTTTTTTTGTTGTTTTTTTATCTGGACTGTAGGATGTTTTGAGGTTCATCCATTAGACTATAAGCTAAATAGGCTGCTTAGTGTCACTGAGTCATCGTCTGTATTTGATTTGCATTTCAGTTCAAGCACTGTGAGACCACGGCTACTACAAGGTGTATCAATCTGTAAATATTATTTCGCTTTACAAGTTAGTCCAGGAAACTCACACCTTTTTAATTTATTTTCTTTCTCAGCCTTTAAATCTCTTCTTTCTTTCTCAGCCTATCTCTATTTTTATACTTACAACAGAACCATCAGTGTATCAGAGTCGTTTCCTCTACCCGTGCATGTGCTATCTGAGGATGTGTTCAGTGACGTCCCGTATTTCACACACTTGTGGTTGAATATTCACTTAAATCCAGGCTGGTACAAAAGCACACAGTTTGCGTCAGTATTATGAGTCCACATTTTGGGGATTATTCAGAACTACTTCAGCTTCAGTTCAGTCAAGATTTATTTCTGAATTAATCGGTTTTTTTTGTTAATTGTTTAAAGCAATGCTAACTTTTTGGTTGCGCACCTATTTTAGGGTGACGACAACAATGCGACAAGGTTCCCTGAGGGTGATTCAATATTAAATGTTTCTGTTTTTTTTTCCGTCCACTCATCTAAAACTTGTATTATCAACCCATAATTCCCATATTTAAATTGCTAGCATAAATATATATTATATATTGCCAAATGTCAGTATATACTATGAATAAGAAGTTTATAGTTTGTGAAGGTTTGAAAGTACGGTTCAGCCTAGTTTAGTTTTTAGCTTATTTTCCCCCTGCCCCCCCACAAGGAGAGTTGAGCTCTCTGCCTGTCCGTGTGTAGTTCAGGCTACGATGCATTTTGTTTCAGGAGGTAAAAGGTTGATATTTTTTGTGTTATGACAACTATAGCAATATAATAAAAAAAAATATTAAATTTGCTTTGGCTCACTGACTTCTTGGATGTCCAAGTGTGCAACTGATATGTGTAAAAACAAGCATCAAATACTAGAGCGGAGCACCTTTCTGATCCTGTGTTGTGAGCTTTCATTCTGTCAAGTGCGCAGTAAAGTTGTCAAATTTCAAAGTGAATAGTTCAAATTATTCATGTGACAAGGTTCATTCAGTAGGAAGTTTCCACAGTGTCGACTTAAAAGGTGAGTTTCATGGTTCATCGCTACAAAACTGAAAATGACCAAATGAATGCATTTAAGCTCCAGATGATCCATATTCATGCTATAATTTTGACTTATAAGGATTTTAGGTTTCTGGAAATGACAAGCGACAGAAGACGGTAAGACACTGTGTTACACATGTTAGTGATATATTTTAACTATGTGTTTAGTTTACTAAACATGCAATGCCCAAACTGTTTCATACTCCTTTGAATATCGGTGTCAAGGCCTTTATTTGTCACCACATCAATCAAACCGTCTTTCTTCATGTGTCCACTGGGATTTTGTTCCTCTTTATGAGGATCTCCAGGTCTTTGAAGTTCCTCTTCATCACTCTGGTCTTCAGTTTCTTCCACAGATTCTGCATGGGCTCTGGTTCACTCCACAGTGATGGTTTGTCTTCACCATTTCTTGACCACTTTGGCTGCATGTTTCAGATCATTGTTCTGTTGGAAGGTCTTTTTCTGCAGATTGTCTGATGTTGTCTTAATGTCGTCCTCTTATCTCATGATGCTGTCCACAGATTCGATTATTTAAAGCTCTCTTCTTTGTCCAGGGGAACTTTGGTGTTGGCAAGTCCTCCTTGGTTGCCGTTCATAGAGATCAACTTTGTTCAGTGTCTGCTGGCATCTCTGAGCAGCTCTGGTGCCAAAACAGATTGATTCGGATGCTCTTGGTGCTGATTCTCCTTGACTTCTCACACTGTGTTCCTTGTCAGTGCAGGACTCACTTTTGGCTTTCAACTGCGCAATCTGAGATTTTCCACACTGTGGAGCTCCTTGTGCTTTCTGATGATGTGTTGCACTGTGACCACTGGACCCTGAAAACACCTTAGTAACACTTTAAGTCGCTTCAGTGTGCAGCTCTCACAGTGATGGACCCTGAAAGCAGTGTTTATTGTGACTTGTTAGTGACTAGAGAACTACTACATCAGCTGATCTCAGTTTGAAGTGAAACAGAATGCTTAGAAATGGGAGAAAAACTGTATTC